GACGTCTGGGGGGGGGGGGGGTGTGACGTGTTTTTGCGACGCTGTCACGCCTACGCGGGGGATGTCGCATTTGCGTCTGGGGAACCCGTTCGTGAATGAGATGGCTTGTCTACAGCGGTGCTTCGTGGGTCATTGGTTGAGGTTAATATGCAGTGCGGATGTGAGAGGCTCGCCGCTCTTACTTCGTGGGTGACATGCACCAGATTCGTTCGACTGGTTCGTTTTCATAGTGGGCGTCTAGGGGGATAAGTTTATTTCTGTTTAATTGATTCCCATAGGGGACCATTGCGAAATGAGTTTAGTTTAGCTTCGGTGTGTGTCACCCTCTTTCTTCGTGCAATCGGTTTTTTTTCGGCACGTACAAAGGCACCGTCTGTTTCTTGTCACTTTTTCATTTTGAAACCATGAAATTGAGGAGAATGATGCAAGACATGAAAGCACCGGAGCTGAGCTCCGGGCAGCTCCAGCTCCATACAGTGATTCCAGTTGTCCTACGAACGGCACGGAATCACGCTTGGTGAATAAAGATGGCAACGGAACCAGAAACGTTGAGGGAAAGGAGTCGGGGGGAGAGAGGGGGTGGGGGTGGGGGGGACTGTCGCGTCTGGGCTACGTGCCGCTCGCGTGCGAGACGGAATGGATCGGGTATCTCCCGCTAACGAGGCATCTTTCACCCTTGCCCATATAGGAGGAATGGAGGCTGCTCCACAAGGATTTCCTCATCCCTTTCGGAATTTCCAAGGGCAACAAGGCATCTTCGCTCAATCTCAGCTCGAACGTCAACCTCAAGGGCAGCCCCGACTCCTCTTTAATCCGGGGTTCACGTTTCAAAATCGCCTTCAAATTGCACCGCCCACGACGACGACGACGACGACCGAGGCCCCAGCCCCGGCCCCGACTCGAGAAGATCCTCTGATAGCCCTCCTTCTTGTGTTGCTCGAAGCGGGGGTCGACCCCTCCGTCATCTTCCAAGACCCGAGTTTCTCTCAGCAACTTGTCGACTTCGTCGCGCAACCTGCACCTGCACCTGCACCCCTACTCCCTCCCCCACCCCCACCTCCACCCCCACCCCCGCCCTCTCCCTCTCCCCTGCCTCCAATCACTTCTCCACCATCCACTGAGCCCCCACCTTCCAGCTTGAACTCCCTCCTTGCGGAGCCACAGCAGCAGGGGACGGACCACTTCGCTAATGAACAAGTCTTGTCGGCCCTTCTGAACGTCCTCGAATTTCTGTCATTAACGGATCCAACGACCGAGTCCCCTGCATTTCCGGATCATAGTAGTCCCGTCCACGACCTCCGATCGACACCAGGCCCAGCTTCAGACCCTGTTGGCATTAAGGAAATTACGCCATCACAAGAACCTACGACGCCCGTCGTTACACCTCCAATCCACATTCCAACGTCTCCGATCCCAACCATCACCACTTCACCACCTCCACCAACACTTCCAACGTCACCGGTCTCCTCCACCACCACTTCGCCACCTCCTCCGCCTCCACCATCACTTCCAGCATTACTAGTCCCCATCACCACCACCACTTCGCCACCTCCACCAACACTTCCAGCGTCACCAGTCCCCATCACCACCACCACTTCGCCACCTCCTCTGCCTCCCGTGACAACTACGACTACTGTCATCACTCCGGCACCTCCCTTGTTCGATCCGCTCGGTGCAGGGAGGAAAGCAATGCTTCCTCACGAAATACCAAGGACGATAGACCCGATATTTAACGCCTACCTGGACGAGGTCTGCCTCGTCTTCAAGTGTCGAATCAAGTCTCTGCCGGAAGGCGGACGGAATCGAATCACGCTCCGTTTGACACCGATTCCGGGCCTGTCGCCAGCGATTCCGCCGCCGTTCATCCGGGAAAAATACGCATTCGCCACTACCAGTCCCATCCCAGAAGCCTCACCCACTACCGAACCTACTACAACTGTCACCACGACCACCACGACTCCGAACCCAGCCTTGTTGGAGATTCCAACGGATCTCTTCCCGACCGACTTCCTTCGCTTGGATCCGAAGAAGCCAAAGGCCCTGCCGTTTCCCGATGTTCCAGCGAACGAGATATCGCCCGGTCGGCCGACTCCAGAACGACAAAAGCCACCCCCGATAGCCGAAACGCATACAGAAGCCGTCACGGAGCCGATTGTTAGCCAACCAGTGACCGAAACGACCTCACCCGACGTCCCAAGAACAGAAACGAATGTGCCTAATACGGGTTCCTTCACACCAGAAGCAAGCACCACCCTGATTCCCACGCAGGATCGGACAACACCCATCCCAACCACGCTTCCATCCGAGACTACCACATCCCTACCCATCCCAACCACGCTCCCACCCGAGACTACCACATCCCTACCCATCCCAACCACGCTCCTACCCGAGACTACCACTCCCTTCCCCATCACCCTCTCTCCAGAGCCCAAACAATCAGAACCTCCGGGAACCGAAAGTGTCCCCAGCACGGACACAGAACCACCTCCGACAGAGGCCGCCACGGCTCCATCGACAGAACCTCGCCCCGTGTCCGTGTCGACCACCCAGCCAACGCTCAGAGTCGTGGTGCCCGTATCCACCATCAACCATGCGGCACTAATTCCGCCCTTCACGGACCCCAGCCCCACTTTCCTGCCGTTAACCCTCGTGAGACATCTCCACAATTACTACTTCTACCGGCTTCTCAGTAGGATATATGCTTCGATCAAGGCCGTCATGCGTTGAGGTTACGTTCCTTGGATCCGGTCGTGCAATGTTACCAAGTACCCTTGCGAAGCTTGCAACTGTTTCTGTGATACGGACGAGGGATCATCAAGGACACCGTCGATCGCAAGAGGCAGGCGCACGCAAATGATACGATATTTGCCCTTGCTAGCTCGCCTGAATTGGCGAATTATCTGAATTGTCTGAATCGCCCTTCCCTGAATTATAGCACCGGACAGAAGAATGGCTTTCAATGAAATTCCATGTCGACTGTAAATAAAAAATAAAACATGACTTTCCTCCTGGCAAAACAGGAAATCATAACCTAGCTCACGCTTGTCATAACTGCACGACCTTAGCTTCTATCCTGACAAACAAATGTCTACTCAGAGAACTCAGAGAAGTACTGTTCAGAACCATCAAGCCAATGTGGGGTCACCAAAAAAAGTAGGTCCCGAGTAAAAAAAGGGAAAGTGTGGCGAGAGCCTGACATTCTCAACTGCCCACGAGTTGTAGCTGTAACTCGTTCACAATCTTGAGAAAAAATATCCATGCAGTAAGAGTTCCATTAACTTCAATCATGGGTTTCCAATGATAGTACTAATGAAGATTCAGTATTTGTATATGAAGAAAAGCAACCTTCCACATTTGAGGCTCATTGTGATTCCTTCAGTTCCTCAAGAACAGATTGCTCAAGATGAGATTTCTCAGGATGTTGTCAGTGTAAATTTTCACAAAATAAGCTGTCTTAACTCAAGCTTCCAAACTCACTACAGACCCACAGACTCCCCTGTTGGTTTACTTTGGGATAGGAAGGGCAGGCCTTTCCACCTGAAGGACTCAAACAGAAACATTCCATTACAAAGGAGAACTCATGATTGAGATCAACATAGATTTCATTTTAAAAAATATTCACACTACAATACAAAAGGGAAACTGTCAGCATGATCTTTGACAAGGCCATGAAAAGAGCCAAAGAAAAAGGAGGCACCTTAGAATTTAAAAAATCGGAGACTGCTAATTAGAGGAGCAGCAACACAGAAATAGGAATGTACAAAGCATTCAACTTGAGCCGTGAAATCAAAAAGACTTCATACACATTTATAGGGACTCCAGATGGAATTACAAACAGAAGTGAAGACCAGGAATCTGGAAGGCAACATTATATTAACCGAGACTATGAAACTTCATGCAATTTTCACCATATTCCAAAAGCAACAGAGTGGCATTGGTGGTATTCTGGAAATGAGGAGGAAGGAAGAGGGGAGAGAGTATACCCACATACTGTAACAGAGGGAGATATAATTTTTAAAAAGGAGTGGCACAAGCAGGAAGAGAAACAGGATACTTTACAATACTAGATTATTCTCACCATTCAAAGTTTCACTGGGCCAAAGAGAAGTATCACATCGTTCATGCTTACATTTCTCCCATTCAGGAAGATAAGGACAAGATTAGGAATGTGTCACCATCCAATAAGTTCCCATCAGCATATGAATACCAAAAAAAAATTGTAACTAACAAGTTACAAGTTCTTTCTATGCAAAGGTGCACAGCTTCAAATCAAGATGCATGCAGCCCACCTGCAGTTCCATGTACACAGAGTGCATTTCTGGAGACCTCACTCTAGCGATTAGGCTGATGGGATTGCACTTAGTCTTATGATGTCCAATATTAGTATATCCTTATGCTCTGTCAAGGTGGAAAATTTTTTCATAACAGCTGAAGCATCCTTCAACTTCCAGCTTAAAAAATTCCTTCAGTGTTTAATACTTAGAAGTGGCTCTGAGGTAAAGAACAGTTCTGTAACCAACCCTTCCCTATACCAAGAGTGTTGATATGTGAACCACTACACGCCCAGGAAAGAGCATGCATTTGTCACAGGTCCAAAGCATTTGATGAATGTGGATTACACCATGGCCTTTCATTTTAACATGAGAGCATAAATGAAAAACAAGGATGTCCCTGATGACTCCCAACAAGTAAAGGGGATGTGAATGACAAGCATATCCAGTATATAATGAGGGGATTTCCCAGAGTATTATGCAACCCTTCAAGGTCAGCCAGATTCTCAAGAAAAATCGATAATAAAAAAAAATATAAAAAAGTAACAGATCTAGTTGATGAGAGCGTCTTGCACTAATGAGATCATGAACAGTGTCTCTCAAGAGCTCGCCACATGCCATGGATTCAGCAAGCAGTCCCATTCAAAGTCATCCTCAAAAAATGCAACTAAGCCCCTCATTACTATTCATGTCATATGTCAGCTCCCTGGGCTCATGAGTAAATTGTTTATATGGACATCATTATGAAAAAGGACAAGCTCCTCCTTAGAAAGACACAATATCAGAGTGTATGTGCAGAGACACCTTGCCTGGGGAACATGAGAAAATGCAGCAGGCCAAGGTTGCAGGTAAGAAAGGAAAACACTGTCCCATGTAAGGCAGGTTATAGAGGCTTTCCCAGCTTCTCAGGCTCATTTGAACTTACATATGGAGACTGAAGATACTTGATATATGCAGACTGAAACAATGTATGACATAGGGGATGGCAAATTTTTGCTCAATGCTCATGCTTGTGAATTGCCATATGAAGGAAGGAAATCACTGCATTACAGACATGCTGATCTGAAACCAGGGAAGCTGAAAATTTACCATTTCCAAGCACAAATCAATAAAACACATTTTGTTCATGGCCCATTGTGCATATTACACTGACAAGAGAGGATGCTTTGACTTGCTTGAAGCTGGGCTTCTTCCATCTATTGTGGAGCACCCTTAAGCAAGCCAACAAATCCAGCAGATTCAAGGAAAGAGATTGGAATATTGGTAGAGCTTCAAGACTAGTTCTTGCCTGGTTTTGCAGGTCTATGCTAAATGGAATGGGAACTTATCTCTAGATGACCACCCTTTCTTTTTTTCTTTTAAATAGTTGGAACACGTTAAGCTGCTGTCTCATACTGCACTGCACAGACCTTATGCTTGGGGAAGAGAGACTGATTGACTCATTATCACACATGCACCCATCAAGACATTCAGTATATGATTTTTCAAATCAGTCTTTCAACTATGATGATATCTCAGGTTTGCCTAATCAGGAGAGGGCATGCATTTGAGACGCTCGAAGGCATCTTTTTCAAGGCTCTCCCTGTGATCAGGATGAGCAATGCTGATGAGAGCATGTGCCCTCTGTCTCAAATTCTTGCCAAACAGGTTGACGATTCCATGCTCTGTGACAATGTAGTGAACGTGAGCTCTTGTTGTCACAACTCCAGCTCCTGCAAAGGAAAAACATGACCTCAACATCTCTTAAGCACAGAACATCTATCTCCAATTTTTAATATCTCTTGTATATCAGAATCAGTAGTTGTCGAAATTATGCAATCACAATAAAACTTGTCTCATCACTAAATAATCACTGAATCACTAAAATAAAGGATATTATTGCTTGAAAATATAAAAGCGGAATGCAGCAATAATCAAGCGTTTCACAATTACACACAACAAATAAATAAATAAAATCCTGTCAGAAATAAAAATACATACATGGTTCTTCCCCACTCTTTCAATACAGCTGCCATTCATCAATTGTCCAGGTTGACATATTTCCTTCAGAGATATGTCAACGTCAACACCATCGGATATACCGATGGGGAAAAGTATGCAGGCAAGGAAGGAGATAACGCGGAGAAATAAGGACTGCCACTTGGGTATACGAGTGAAGGGTTTCAAAGAAAGGGCGTCCCTGAAGTGTCAGTATAGCGTTTCCAATTACTTTTGCTCCGGCCCTCGTACATGCGGAACAGGAAAGGAGAGAGAACGCAACCCTGACGGAGACCCATACGAGTCCTTCGCTCATCCCGCTCACTCGAACGCAGCTCCTGCAACCACTGTATAAGGATTGAATGGCCCACGGTAGCCCACGGTTAACCTCATACTCCTGCAGCTGTCCCCACAGGTTCCCTCTTAGTACACGGTCGTGTGCCTTTTCGAGATCCACAAAACACTTCTAAACCACATTGGCATATTCCCAATGTCTCCCGAGAACTGGGTCTGCAGAGCAGCGTCCTTCGCGGAATCTGCACTGCTCCTCCAAGACTGCTTCCCCAAAAGCTGCACGAGGTCACTTTTCGAGCACCTCGTTATAGACCTTATCAGGTACGCAAATGAGGGTGATTCCACGGTAACTGGTGCACTCCCTGGAGTCCCCCTTGAAATAAGGAATCACCACGCCGGTCTGCCAATCCACTCCATCCCCGATTCCTAAGCAGTTCGTCATACTCTATACAACCACGAACGCCCATCGATGCCTATTGCTTTCAGGGTCTCTGCCGGGATTTCGTCCACGCCAGGAGACGTACCGTTCTTCAAGTTAGCCGTGCCTTGTTCAATTTCCTCCACTGAGATTACTTTCCGTGCAGATAGATATCCCGAGTAGGGTACATCCAAGTCCGCTGTGGGTGAGTTAAGAGTTCCTCAATGTTCCATCCACCTTTCGAGTGTTCGGCAGCCGAGACTTTCCCGTGTCGACCTTTCACGATCAGGAGAGTATATTGCCTGCCTTGCCGGAGCCTTCGAATGGTTTGCCAGAACACATTGTTAGCACTGCGGTAGTCGTGTTCCAATTCTTCACCGAATTTCTTACAATCCTCCTGTTTGGCTTCGGCCACCGCTCGAGCAACAGTTTTTCACGCCTCTTTGTAACTTGTCCGCGAAGGGTCTGACTTAGTGGGCATATACAGGGTGACAATAAAGTCCATGGACTACCTTTTAATGCCATTTATCACCCAAAACTTCTAACCAAACAAATGGAACTTAAAAACATAGAGACCCATGTAATGAATAAATGATACTAGTTGTTTTCAATGTCGCCCCCTTTAGCTGCCACTACTGCCTTGAGCCGTTTGCGGAAGCTTTCGGCTGAGTTTCGGAGGTGTTCGGGGGGAATTTCATCCCATGCCTTCGCCTCTGACATCCCCCAGATGGCGAAGTCCTTGGGGTTCAAGCAAGGTAAATCGAAGACGCTCTAGCTCTCAGGTAAGGACGACCCATAGGCACAATGATAAGCTGTGATGGAGCCATCTTTAGTCCATGTTGAGGGTCCCGTTCCTCCTACTTTGCATTGAGATGCCATAATCGCCTCTTGATATCACTAACTCTCCTGACTCCTGACTCCTGAACTGCTCTCCAATGCCTGGATGGCCAATATTCATGTATACTTTTTTCTATTCAGAAGGTACAGATGGAGGCTTTTCTTTGGGATCTAGTGTGTACCTCATTCGGGCTCATGGGCGTTTAAAAACCTGCTTTGAACCTCAATTATCAGCTTTAAGGAGCTTTATTGGCACCATCATCCGGCACCACGTCTCCGACAGGCAGCAAGCTGTCGCAGGTGGCACGCTGACAACGCGGCAATGTCTCCATTCTGTAACAAGACTGTCTCTTAAGTAATGCCTTCTCCAGTTATCAAAGGGACAGTAGGTAACAAGTCCACCCTGTTATCAAGGACAATCTTAATAATTGCTCATGCTGTGGTAGAAATGTAAGACAAGGATGAGAATAGACACCGAAAAATCGCACTCTTTCATCTCTTTCTGGGCTATTTATTTCTTCATCGATGCGTGAATCTAAATTAATACAAATGAATAATGGTTCCGAAAAGGGAAGTCAGAATTCGTGCAGGAACAAATTAGTTGCTGCACAAATATATGTTTCGCATGATTTATGTTGGTATTTTCATGTTTTTTCAGCCATGGCACCATTTTTGAAAGCAGACCTTTACGAATTCGTCTGCAGTCTGATACAAACCCGAGCCAATAATGTTAACGTATCAGGTTTACATTGACAGGAGCAACTATATCTTCACCACGATCACACTACTTTCGAAGCTACTTAATTCTCGACGTCATGATAAAGAGTATTTGCGCACTTCTCACGGTAACTTCAATTAACACGTTCGCGCCACCAACAGCTGATTTTTTGTATTCATATACATTCCTGCATCACTAAATCAAGATTTTATGAAAGGTACAATCTTTTCCACAGTCATGTAACAACTATTTACACTCAAACCTCCCAATACCTGCTATAAATTTTGCAGAAGAACTGATTTGTTGATAAAGTCAGATAGCTAAACTCGCATCTAACTTTTTTCAACTTTTTTCCCTTTCGCTCAAATTTCACTTTCCATGCTCAGTCGTGCTTGCCTGAAACCTATGGATCTACTGTACATGTGGACTCTTAGATCAGCTAGTTTATCCGGAATGCCGACTGACGGAGAAGGGGAAGGAATACATTGGGACCGTGAGCGTGACGAAAAATGGGAAAACCTGCCTCAGATGGGATTCCCCGGATGTGAAATTGTCATTCCCCACAGCAGGGAAGGGATTCTATGCAGGCATGACCTTTGAAGAGCATTTCCTGAACCAAAACCCGTCCTCCCATAAGAATTTCTGCCGGAATCCATCAACGAACGATATGCCCTGGTGTTTTGTGAATGATGGCGGCTTGACGTGGGAGTATTGCTGGATTCCCTTTTGTGATGATCTGAGTGAGTGCCTTTCTGATTCTCAATCACGTTCATCAAAAATATGAGCAAATGTAATATTCCACAGCAAAATGAATTTGTACTTTGCAATTTATCACCGGCTTCACAACTTCCCTATTTTGGCAATCGATTAGGTATTTTGACCTGCTTACATGCATCCTTCCTTCTCTGCCTCAAATTGTGCGAGTGTAAACGAGTAGAGGTAGACATCCCCCTGTAGCACAAGATATTGGCTCAATGCCGGACCTACTTTGGGCACGTTTGCTGTACCTTGCCCAATATTGAAAATATCAAACCGATGCCATGATCCGATGCACTCAAGTTGCACTAAGAAAAATAAATACCCTTTGGGGCATGCTCTTTCCTTCTTTATTCCTCATACCCATGTACTCCAATAGTATTCCTATTTGCACGCGGGGGGGGGGTTCCCTTGGTAGGAATTTTTTCTATTTGCAGTGCTAGTATTTTTGAATGTTTAGCACCTCGCCATATGTCTTGCCTAGTCTCATTATAGCAATCAATGAAGCTGGACAATTCATCATTTGTTATCCGCATATTCGAGACAGTATCATGGAGTCCAGGAAATAACCAAGCTCATATCCCCTAGGAGAAACCCTACGAACAGAGTATTACCGTTCCATTTAGCTTCTGCGAGATCGAGAGTCCATTCCTGCTGGGTATCCGTGTTACTATTCGACACTACCTCGGTAGAAATCAGGTACAACTCCCAGGGCAAGGAGGATGAAACGTAACTCTACGGTGTGTGTTCGGTCCCTAACTCCTCGAACAGAAGCAGAAAAGCATTTATTCAAGTTTCCCGTAGATTCGAAAAAGACGTGATCGGCGAGCACTGAATTTTAGGTGGGAAGGTCCTGGCCATAGAGGCCATTAGTTGAACTGAACTTTGAAATCCTCTTTTTGTTCGGGCCTAGGCCTTGTTGATCTGCATTGCAGTATTTCTTCTTTATTTTTGGATTGCACTGATCTTTTAAATACTTTTGTTCATGCCTAAGCCTTCTTGATCTTGCTCATTGCAGTTTTCCTAATATTTTCTTTGTGGCAGTTGAATATTAAATATGAGTTAATTGATTGTATAGTATCTGTAGTGTAGCTTTATAATTTGCCAAATGTTTTGTTGCTTGGTGCTTGTTACTTTTGTGATTTTATTTCATTTAAAGTTTATTCAATGTTACTGTGGTAGATGATCTTGTGATCATATTGAATGATGAAAGAATAAAGTATTGATGCCATTGACCATAGAATATTCCTGAGGAATGCGAAAACTACTGAGTAAGGGGAAATGTACTCCAAAAGTCTGTAAATGTCTGAAGAACAGGCAACAGATAATTACCATCAGTGCTTCTAAAGCGATCCACTAACAACCGAGTGTGGGGCTCCCTAGGGTTCATTGTAGTATCAGGAATGGGAAGAAAGGAACTGCAGGGATGCAGTGCATCATTTAGATGTCTTATGGGCATCAGAGTGTTGCAGATCCATTACACTCCTCAGAAAGCATGTTGCTCCTATTTATATCCTACCAAGAAGGTGGAATCTATGACATGAGAAATTGGGATCCCCTTTGTGTCTGATAACTGAAGACACCCTCACATCACACTTACAAATATCTTTTGAAGTATAGAAAAAATTGCTTCTTTAAAAATCAAACTGTCAAGGAATTTACATGCACCTTATCTGGTACTAGCTGCTGTCAGATTTAATTCTTGTATAAAACAGTTGCTGTTCAAGAAACTCTTTGTCTCTGTAGCAACATCAATATTATTTTCCATTCTTTAATGCAGCCAAATTAGGGAAGATAGATTCCTTCAAGCTGAAATCAATATGAAAAAAGCTGTACTCTTGAGGGGATTGAGGGGAAATTCACATGGAGCAAGGATATGTGATGAGTTGTGACTAAATTTAGAGGAATGTCACATTAAAAGCTGCATTTTATAGCCCCTTCTCTCATCCAAATAAATTGATGGTATAACTGCCACCAGCAGTACTAGGCTAGGCACAGATCTGCCACTCCATCAGCTATTTTCTGGTAGGCCCTTATGAGAGTGGCATATGAATCAGCCTGACCTGAAACCTGACCAACCCACTTGATGGAGCATGAAAAGAGCAATGATATAAGGCAGAAGGAAAAGTCATTTTGGCACGACCGTAATTCACGTTTTCATGAAAATCAACGCATTTTGAGATGAAAGAGGGGAGGTCCCGATCGGGAAAGGCGATAGGCCTATTTTTCGAGTTTTCCCTCTCTTTGCTCCAAGCAAAAATTTTTGCATTTGTGGCTGTAGGGAGGGAGAGAATGGGGAGGCAGGCCTGGGTTGGACTAAACATGGCGCCTATTTGAGCTGTCGTCACTACCTGATGCTTCACATCTATATACCTTGGGTTCAAGTCTGGGCTGCTGGAGGGCCACTCGTCAGGCTAGATGAAGTCTGGAAAATTCGTTTTGCACCACGCGGCAGTTGCTCGGGCCTTGTGAGATGGGGCGGAGTCCTGCTGGAAGGTTCATTTATGGCCCCTAAATTGCAGGAAGCCTTGGGACCGTGGGCAGAGAAGCAAGAAACGGGACGAACCAAAACTTACACGGCGAGTTCAGGCTCAAGAGTTTCATACCAGATCGGTCGTTGCTCAGGCGTCATTGTACGTCCGGGGTAACTCTCGATAAGTTGGCTGCCGGGATCAGGCAATCCGATGTTTCTGGGTGCGTTGGACGCCGTCATGTGACATCTAGACCTATCGGTCGGCCTGCTACCAGCCATAGCGTATTTGTGGCACATTGCCTTCAGGGTATCGTTATAGGAGCAGATAAACAAAGTAAACTACAATTATTTGTTTATTTCCATCTGTTTCAACTTTTTGGCCTGAATCCAGAATTCTCTTAACTGAGACAATAGCAGGTTCCTGGCCATACCACTACTTATGACTTAAAGTCCTGCTTCTGCAACTTCTCAGAAGTATCAATCCACCTCCAATACGAGTTTCAGGAGTCAGGGTGGATTACATAAAACTGACTTAAGTGTAATGGAGCTTTGAACCTCCATTAGAGGCACTAAAGGAGGTTTAAAGCTTCATTACGCTTAAGTCAGTTTTATGCAATCCACCCTCAGTCTTGTATTCATAACTCATTTCATACTCTGAATCAATGTAAGTGTGGGAATAAGGATGTACATACATATTTTTCATCCTTTTCATCTATACAAAACTGGGAAGCATGATTTCACCCTTTGAGATGTATGGATAAATAAAGGTATGTTCCAAAATTCTCAATAAAAAAGGAATTAAGAACTGAAATTTGGCATTGTGGTAATTCTATTGAGTACTGTAACTGGACAAATAAAAATCCCTCTTTCCCCCCAGAGGACTTAGTGAGGTGAAATCTAAGTTCATCATGTGACATGTTACCATAAGCCAGCCTTCTCGTGGAAGTTGCTCTTCCCTTCCAACACCCTGAGAAAACTGCAGCATTGATCAACAAGTGAACTAACCTTTCTTTAAATAGGGCACAATTTTTGACTCTCCACGTTTTGTTGCAGACTGCAGGGCAATAATAGGTTTGCCCCTCCCATCTGAACACACAGCAGCACCTCTCAGGAAATCAATCTGACCTCCAACACCTATAGGAAATAAAACTTCACCTTTACAGGAATATTCCACTCCAGTAGCATGGGAGGGATGTCATTCTCCTGCTTGTATAAATTCAAATAAAACTTATAAATAAGAGCTTACGAGAAGAAACAAATGAGATACAAGCAACAAGCTTTGAATACAGTGTCAGAGCCCAGTCAAGAGCAGAATCATTATTTGCACTATTATGATTACAGTTTTTTTCCTTTTCTCTCCATATAATTATGACACAAAATTAATGATCATAATGAACCCAAGAAAATCAATTCTCAAAATATCTAAACGTCACTTTGAGTTTCAAACCTCCCTTCAAGTTCATCAAAAATGTTTTCACACCAAATATCCTCAATTTCATTCTATAATTAAGAGCAAAAATCCCAGAAAACCACCAGGTATACAAAGAACCTTGCATGAACTATTATCTCACCTGAATAAATTCTACTGCCTATGGAGTCAGACACAACCTGTCCTGTGAGATCAACCTCAATGCATGAGTTGATTGATGTCACTTTGGGATTCATGGCAATGAGACTTCGATTATTGGTGAAGGACACACTCATCATTGCTGCAACAGACAGCCAAAAATTACTGAGATGTTGCCAGGCTTTACAAAATGTAGTCACTCAAACCAAGAATAATTTATAACATAGAAGAAGCTGCATATCCAACTGATCTTAGCAAGAATCCACTTACCAACAAGAGGGTTGTCATCAAGGAAGTCAAAGACTACCCTGGAACCACTAACAAAACAGGACACAATTTTTCCAATCTGGACCTTTTTACGATGATTGCTTACTGCTCCACATTCAACAAGAGGAACCAATCCATCACTGAACATTTCTGTATGAACTCCAAGATCCTTGTGATTGTGCAATAGTGATAAAACAGCATTTGGAATATTCCCAATACCTGGAAATGAATAAAAGGAAAAAAGATGAACCTCAGAGACAACATTGACACCACTTTCACTTTTTCCTTTCCATCCACTGGCCAGAGTAGAAATAGTGCAGCTGAAGTTTTATTATTGTGAATGCCTTCTCAATATGAGTGCCATAGCTAGTGTTATGAGTCAGAAGATGAAATGTACAGTTCAGATTGGGTCAGATTCAATCAGATTTGCACCACAGCATAGGAAGCAACATGAGATTCAAGAATCACTCTCATAATCAAGGCATCCATTACATTATGGTATCTTCTATCTTCTTAATCACCCAAAGCACTTTTCTAACCAGCAAGGAGAATCAAAGTATCAAATTCAATCAAAGTAGTGAGGGTTAACTGCCATTAATAACAAACTACAGTGGATTCCGTTTAATTGGGCCATCGGTTAATGGGGGCAGCTGGTTTATCAGGACATTTTGTCAGAAACAGAATCATTTCTATGCAAGTGCATTAAAATTTCGCTGCATATTCAGGACGAAAATCTGCTTAGTTGGGTCAAGGTCAGGGTTGGGGGGGGGCCATCAGTTTGCGATGGGTTTTTCCTTTTCTTCTCCAGATTTGAGCCATTGGTTTGGGTGGGGTTTTTCCGTTTTTTGTGGAATTAAGCTGGGATTGGGGGTTTGGGAGATGATGCAGACAGGGAGCCCAAGACTTTACCAGGGGTGACTCACATTGAGGCCAGGCACTCAGTGGACATCCTTCAGCGCTACTTTATTGAGCAGGGATTGGGCGATACAGCACATGCTGCTATTGACACTTGTGCTGAAGAAGTCTTTAGAAAAGCATTTTCAGACATGAAACAAGGAACCATGGACAAATTCCTTGAATCATAACTCTTGTTTTTTCACAAATGAAGAGCATTTCTGTCTGGGTTTCTCATTATTCTTTACTATAAGGGAACTTCACTTTTTTTATTGGGGCAGCTGCTTAATTGGGGCAAAATGACCTGGAACCAATGTGTCCCAATAAAGTGGAATCCACTGTATTAGCTCAAAGAAGGTATTTTGCCAGCAGAAATATTTTTGTTACCATTAGTGAGTTATGTTCATAGCAGAGTAAACAATTTTTTTTCAAGAGAACAAAGCAATTGAAAGCATATCTTTTTTTTTATCACCCAATAGTACTTTCTTTGAATTTTCATAGTTTGGCCAGAGAAGGAAAAGAACATCTCAAAAAGTCATTCTGTATAAAAGAAAAATTGTCATGAAGTCATGAAGTTTATCATGAAGTTGTCATGAAGCTTACCCATTTGAATAGTAGCACCATCTTCAACAAGATTTTCAGCAATGAGCTTGCCTATCTCAGCCTCTTCTGGACTCATTGGTTTGGTCTCCACCTCAGACAGAGGAACATCAACAGAAACCATTGCATCAAAATGAGATTCATGGATGATTCCATCACCAAAACTTCGAGGCATTTTTGGATTCACTTGACCTAAACACAAAGGATTTGACCAGTGAAGAGATTGCTGGAAGATACCAATGCTTAATGCAATATGTTTCATCTGTACCTATGATATAGTCAGCATGCTGGATTGCAGCTCTTGTGCAGTCAACACTGGTCCCCAAACTACAGAAGCCATGATCATCAGCTGGACAGACCTGGATGAAAGCAGAAAAACAATGAAGTAATATTGTTAGTGGGATTCCCACACTGAGATAACCCAGTTAAAGGAACAGATCAAGTCAACTTGAGAATGAAGGCTTTGGTCTTGCACGACTTCTAAATCACCTTATTGAGAAGAACATAAGAGAAGAAAGTCTGGAAGCATGGTGCTCATGACTTCATAAGGGTAAAAGCAATTCAATCCTTCTATTGGCACCTGATGCTCTGACTGCTTTTTGCTGCTAGTAAGTGGGGAGGGGATTTTTATGAGCTATGTCCTAAAGCATGCACATATATATGGGATTAAAAATGCCTAAATATAAATGAAATACACATTGAAGCGGAAAAATATGCTTTTCAATACCCAGATTGAATCCTTTGGAAGAACTACAACATTAATTTCATATCGTCAAGCTTCCCTTCCCTCATAGATTGGAGTGAGGTCAAGCTGGAGATTAAATTAGGTGCCTGCTGGGTGTATTTGGTGTTCTGAGAAAAATATAAAAATACACATTTTTATGTATTTTTAAATTGGCATGAATAGCCAATAGCTCAAGCAATAGTACATGTTTCTACAAGTTGCAGAAAGTTTTGCATTTTGATCAAAACTGCTTCCTACTCATGAGCCCCATGAATTGGTGCAATTTTATATTGATTCTTCAAAAGATAATTAACACATTTATGGCTAAAAACAATTAACCCAAAATCCTCCCATGAGGCCATAGGATATTCAAGTTGGAATACCAGTACATCCCAACCTTTCAAAACTCTCATGTGCAATAAAAATTAATGGACCCTAGTCCAATTAAACATTCCTTTGTGAGGATGCACCATTCATGAAAACAACATTCCTCTAACTACATTTGGCCAAGTGTTTATTTATTATCTTTTTTTTGCTGAGTGAGGTATCATTTTTAATCCCAGATGGGACTACTCTCAACTTGTCTACTGTTGTGAATGTATTATGTGACACTGACAGTATCTGTAAGATAATTCCAAAACTCTTACCCCTTAACCACTTAACTGGGTATGACAAATATACTTATCATGGTCATTCTTCTGCATTGTGCAAATGATGAGTAAGGGATGGGATTTGAAGATATGGAACTGTCATTCAGTAAAACATTCATGAATCATTATTTCCCTTGAATAAAAAATAATTAAATGAAGCTCCATTGCATGTGCAAGTTGCCACAAAAAAACTAGCCTCTCAGTAAGTTGAGAACATACCCTCCATAGCCTCATTCAGGCAGGGTGCAGCTTGCCTCACAAGTTAGGATCAAACTATCAAGCAATTCTGAAAAACCTCACTATGATGGTTGAATATTTAATCATCCGAACAACCTAACAACTAAAGCAATGTTGACTGAATGTGGTTTTTGCCAAACAGTTAGGGGAAATAATCCTTGAGCCTCCACTGGGAATCAAAGCCATGTCTTCTTTCTGGAGAGAGGTGTCCAAGCCTCAAGATAAGAGAGGCTCTTATCCTTAGCAGCATTAAATTCTCACCTTCAGGCCTAACCAAATACATCACAGAAGCACAAACATACTGAATGGTCTTCTAGGGAATGGGTTTTCATATTCCTTTTGCAATAAATATTTATTGTAAAAAAGAGTTGTACTCCCTGCACCTTCTGCTGATTTACCATTATTTCCAACTGATTTCTTGGGATCTTACCCCAAAATAACAAGTGAAAAGCAGCTTTCCAATAATATGCTACTTTGCAGCCACTGTAGTCCAGGATGAAGAATCATGAGCAGAGCAAGGCAGAGACTAACCTCCTCAAGAAGGCGCAAGGAATATAATGTCTCCACAGAAGAGGTATTTCTTCCTCTATCTCTCCAATTTTGCAATATTATACCTATTCCTTCAAATCAAAAGCCTACAAATCTCAACATTCTTGTATTCCTCCTTTTTGATAACAGATCTGGTGAATCCCACACTTATAGCTCTACATGAATGTAAAATGGATATTCTACAAGTATCACAGACAGCAAACTGACAAGAACTTCCCATCCATTCTGCAGCTGGCAAAGAGAAACACCCAATGTTAAGTCCTGGCTTTGAAGTAGAAAATAGTGAAATTCCAAGGAAGAGCCAGATGATCCTTACTTCATAGCATTACCAAAAAAGCATATATACTGGAACCAATAGAGAAAAATTACTATTAGTACTAAACTTGCTATAGATGTACTGAATTCAATAAAAGAATTCAAGCATATCACTTCACTCATTTCAGCCATTATGAGATGCCTCATGCTGGCTATCATACATAAAGTTGAGCTGGTGTTAAAACTTGTGCAGCCTTTCTCTTAATCCCACAAGCTGAGTTCAAAATATAAACAATAGGCAGCACTTGAGAGCTTAGCTCAAGATATTGTGGGAATACTCAGCCTTCAGCATGGATGAAGTACATGGCAAGTCACTTTGGAAATGACCAACCAGCCCTCAACACTTCTCCTTACCTGCACCAAGACAACATTGGGTTTTATGTGCCCCGAGTGGAAGAGCATGGGGATTTCACTCAGGAATATTGGAATGAAGTCTCCTCTTCCTGTATTGACAGCCTTGCGACAGTTTGAACCAACAAAGAAGGAATTGCTCCTGAAGATTCCTGCAAAAATATAATGAAATACTTGAGGAGGATCATGGAGTGATAACTACCTTAAACATCCCCTTCTCAGAGACAGTCATTGAGCACTGGATGATGTAATGAAACTATTAGCCTCCTTGGCACTCTTTTATTTTCCTATTCTTTACACCCCAGGGCCCTTTTTCTTTCCCAGTTGGTTTTTAACTGAAAGGTTGAATATCATGCACATGTGTCCTAATAAAATAATGGTAAACTATAGGAGGAAATACTATTATATATACTACCTATACATTTCATGAACATAGAACACACTTGAACAGATTTGAAAGCATTGAAAACTATACAATGCTCATATTAAACAACTGGAATTTTTGTTTCGTACTGCAATTCTTAGGGTAAGATAGTGCACACAATCATACATGCTGAAGATTTATGAATAAATGTTGAAAATGCACACAATAGCCTAACTGATGTACATGAATTAACAATTACATATGTTTGGTGCGAAAAGCCTCAAAGCAAGGCACCACACACAATCTAAAGTCATACTCCATGCAACAGAATCTTGTCTTTTTCCTGATCTCCTTTCTGTAACCATCTTTATTTTCAAATGATGCAGTCAATACATCTCTTGCTTCTACACTCTAATGCAGTGGTTCACAACTGCTAAAGGGCTAAAACACCATGTCTGTGAAATTAATTCTAGCCCGTGGCAAAATGGAAGGAGGAAAGGTCTGACACTTTTCTGAGGTTGGTACATTGTTGGCCTGCAAAAGTTAAAAAATGGCTACTTCAGGGCCTATTTAACAAATTCACACATAGGTAGTCACTCTAGGGACACCCTGCATTTCATAGGGTTTAAGAGCTCTCGCCTGTATTCATATATATATAAATATTGAGCTGAGAAGTGCATCAAAGAAAAACAACCCCGAGACTATCTTGGGGTAAATGCTAAGGAGGTTAACGGCAACTGAGTTATCTGCTCATGAACAGAGCCACATCCCTTCATATCTGCAAGCCTAGATCAATGGCAATAATCACACTCTTCACTTAGTTTATAGAGGAAAGCTCATAGACAAAGACAGGCTCACAACAAACCTTCATATTCTGGTTCATTGTAAAGGCCTGGCCCTTCAGTGTGCATATGACATACTCGAATATCTTTCAAGCCAGCACTCTTGGCATAGTTGCACATAGCATCAATAAGAACCATAGGAGTGGCTGCTGATCCTTGAATGAACACAGTGTCACCTGCAAATAAAAAATCCCATGTTAAATTAATCATAATATTAGCAAGAGCTCAAAAAGCAAAAAGGGTGAGGCGATTTGGACTGTTATATAATACAGTGTTTGCAATAATTGTGTATCAATTCTGTCATACAACGCAAATAACAGAACAAGTACATAATGATTAGCCTGTGCTGTAACTTTCAATTGACTGCACCCCCTACCCCCTTCCAAAGAATGTCAAATGTTGTCTAACTAAGCAACATCTACCATTTAAATTTTATTGCCCTTACTATATTAGTGACTGAAGTAGGGATTAAGCCTTTCCCTTTTTAGTCACAGTAGGAGGGGATGCATTCAATTGAAAATCATTATATTGATCCTGTCCTATCCAATAATAACAGTAAGAGTTTGTTCACATGACTAAATAAACCCTTAAGCATCTGAATATTTTTCACTGTACAGCATCTCTCATTGAGTTTGTCTTGTGAAACTGTTGTTCTAGACTTTTTAGCATTGAGTCTCTAACAAGATATAACAAATGCTTTGATGTGCTTTTATAAATGAGACTACCAAAACATTCTGGCATGTCTTCAGCACAGCTGCCATATTTTTAGTTGGTGATCAGCCCTCACTCCCAATACAATAAGCACTTTGGCCTGACATGTGACCTATACTATGCAGTTTCAACTCACCAGACTTCAGCACCTTTACTGCTTCTTCTGCACTTTTCCAAACAGGATCCCTTTTCATTGGATGGAATGGTTCACGTGTGACATTATCAAGAGTCAGCCTTGACATCATCCGTGTGGACTTAGACAAAGTGAAGGCAAGCTGTTTCATCCCTTTCCAGGACATGATTGGGGATCTGAATTGCACCATATTGTGACCCAAGAAGTGTGCGATTTGTGTCCAAGCCTGCTATTAGGATTCAAAGCACCTCACTCCTGCAAATTGGAAAATAAATATTGTGATATAAGCTTGACAAAAATATTAGTAAGCCAATGATGAATGCATGAAAAAAAAAACAGCATGATTGAAAAAATAAAAATTATCATAACTCATATTTACCCAATAAAGTTGGTAAAGTCCAGAATTTCAAGCTCTAAGCTTCTGGAATCATGGAACTACAGGCAATCATCACCATTCTCTAAAATATTATTTCTATTGTATACCAATAATATAACTCATGGCTTTCAATATAGGGACTTGAGAGAATATGTGTTGATCATATAGTATTTGCATGTTTTATTATTTAAAAAATTCCAACATGATGTAACAACAGCTGCCAGAAAAAAAAAACAACTTTTCACTTGGTTTCATATGACCTGGCAAACATTGAATTTGAATCATCTAGGCATGTGACTTTACAGGATGACAAAAAAATCTGCTGCAACTTGGGAAGGGTAGAAATTTCAGAAAGAAGCACTTAGATGTACAACATAACAAATTATAAAATACCTGGATATGACTATAATTTCAGATAAAATTATATATTCACAAGACATGTTGGAATGATTTCCAAGTTAAGAATACAACACTCCCAGTATATTGATCAAGATATACAGGGTGGGCCAAAAAAAAAAAAAAAGCTATCATTTTTGGTATGTTGTCAATCTGATTGTATGTGGCTGATTTTGATGAAATTTGGCATACACATAGGGTGACTCAATTAAGGTTTATGTGCCAAGTTTCAAATAAAAATTCCAAAAACTATGAGATTGGCATATAATTTACTTTTCATCACCAAAAAAGTAAGTGTTCATATTTTTTATCAGCTTAAAAATTCTCACAACTGACCAAAACAAACAAGCAAACAGAACAAAAACAATTGCATAAATGCCTAACATAAAAGCACATAATTTGGTTTGGGTATGTACATTTCAACTGAAAAGGTGCTCAATGAGCCCTCCATTATATTGAATGCAAGCCCATAGTCTGGGACACTGCAGATCAATGGCTCTATGAATAAACCTTTGAGGCAGTGCCTCCCAATCTTCCTTTGTAGCATCATGCAGGGATGGAAGGTCTATGAATTGGACCTCCCTTTCATCTCCCTCCCTTTCATTGGTCTCAAGGTTGTATTGATCTTTTCAACAGCACATTTTGTCATTGGTCATCAGAAAATAATTACAACTCCTATAATTTTAAAGACAGATGACTGAAATTTGGTATAAAAACTCCAATTGTGTCACCTTTATAAGCCTACCAATTTTAATAAAAATCGGCAATCCACAAAGAGTTGACAATTCACCTCAAATGATAGCTTTGTTTTTTTGGCCCACCCTCTATATGCTCCTTAAGTATTGAAAAACATTTACTACTTCCATACAATACTCCATTTACACAGGGAATATACACTCCCTAGTCAACCCAACCCTGCCCCCCAACATGCACACACACAGTTACCTTCCCTTGAAAGACAAAACAAAAAGTAATAGGAACTTGTAGAGATCCTATAGAAGACTTTCGGTTTACATCAGACACCATGTACAAAACCCTTAAATTCTCTACTCACACCTACATACTAATGGACTATTCCACTTAGTAATACTTTCAATCCCTTTAATTGCATACACCATGGCAAGATTTTTAAATTAGGATTATTATCTCTCTACTCAAGATTCCCTAATGTAGAAAACATAGTAAACTCTGAAAACTATGAGTTTCCACATTATCACATGGAGCCTCACTTGTGCAGGCATTTGATAGATTTGATTATTACACATAAAAACATTTTCAATGTGAAGGAGTGAGTCTAGGAGCCAGATTCATAGCTCATGCACAAAAGAAATCAACTTTAAAATATTTGCTCAGAAGAAACAGCTGATTAACTACAACCTTTGCTTAATGGTCTTAATATATTTGGGGAGCCTTACACAAAAATACCATGTGAGGATAAATTTATTTTTAAATGTGGCCATGGATATTGTTTCAAGGATATATTACCTCATGTACAAATTCACCAATTCAGGGCATGATGTTTAGAGGGAACAATTGTACTCCATGAAAAATACTTAAGTATTAACCTAAAAAATGCCTAAATAAGCTAGGTTTCTGAAGGTAGTGAAGCAGTATCTTTCTGCCTATGAGAATGGATGAATAATATCACCTTTGGATTTCTTCCAAACTTTACACCTACTACTGAGTTAGAAATTCACAGAAGCCAAAGAGCCTAAGACACCAATATATAATGTATGACACCTATGCACCACAGGAACTTCTACCTCTTAGGCTGCCACAAGTGTTGAACCATGTACCATGAATTTGATTAAAGATTTGCAGAGAAGCATAGCTTCAAGTAGCAGCAGGTATACAACCTCATCATCAATGAATGCTGAAAAAAAAAATAAAATACCAAATTGTTTTGTTTCTTCTACCATCAACACCTAATCTCTGACCCAACCAGAGTGGTAGCTAAGTGGTGATGGTGGTACAACTGGAATCTTTAATTCTATCCTGTAATCATGTCAGGAATATGCATTGCAATCTCAGGAAGAGAATGGAATGTCAAAAATAAAAATCTGAAGAAGTTCTAGGTGTTCTAATACCAACAGGAAGATAACAGAGCCAAAACTGAACCTGTGATCATCCCTTTGTCCCAAGCAATAAAATTCAAAACTGATACCATAAGACAATGGAAATTAATGTTCTTACTTAAAGCATCCAGAATGAGTTGCACCAGAAATCACAAGTCTGAAGTTATAAAGTGCCTTAGTGTCAAAATGGCCATAACATTGGGCAAGTTAGAAATAAAGAGAAAATATCCACTCCCAAGTTAAGCAATACAGATCAACTTTAGGCAACAAGTTATGGATGGTTGAATTTCATTTATTTCTTATAAGTCTAAGTTATCTTTGTATTGATGTTACACAGAATTTGGATTAACCCCTTGGGTTTTCAGACTTAAATCAGACCAGATTCAGTTCTTTTTTTTTAAATCAATCTCTAGATCTTCACCAAAAAGCGAATTTCATAGTAAAAACAGGCTAAATAAAAAATAAAAAATAAAAAATTTTAAACACACAATGGGAAGTAGTCCGAAGCTAATCTGCAAGTGACGGCCGACATCTCGACCTTAAAGTTAACCTGAAGTCACAGTAACCACCGCTAGCATGAATATAAGCCCAGGCCTTGGCAGACTACCACGTGGTTGCCACGTTTAATTACTTTCGACACGGGTGTCGCAAGACACCAAAAAGAACTGCTCCACTAAAATTAAACTATCGCCCAGAACCGAACGCAGTCCAGGCTACAAGCTTAGCATGGGCAGCCACAGCGGAGGCCACCGTGCTGACAAGCACAAATGCCTTAGGGTTCGTCGAGTACGAACCTGTAGGCCTAGAGTGAGAGTGGCACCCACGTGTAAGCGCCATCCAGGCATACATCGCTTTCGGGCCTAGCCCTTCAGACAAGGGTATTTTTGGTGGAAGCATGTCAATCTGCTGTCTTGCTTTTTTATTCTATTCTAATCCTCAGCGACTTTGCTCCCTTTTTCTCTTTGAGCCACAAAAGGCACGTGATTTATGCCACGACACACCAACCCCTATTCCCAAAAGTTAGCTACTAGTTCAGGAACGGTGCATGACAACGCGCGGGTAAGCAAGAGTTTAAACACGTGCGAGTATATTCGCGGGAGAGTGCCACCCAATGTTTCTATGCAGTTGCATGAAAAGAGATGACTCTTCGTTTCATGAAACCACGCTCACGGACACGGTCGTCTATGGAAATAAAGCACAGAAGCACCAACTTCACCGACAGACGATAATTAAAAAAACCTTCGCGTTCATCGTGACACCTTCAAGAAACCATCGAGCTTCGTCCCCCCGGTGCCCTCAGTCTCCAAGATCGTCCTTCAAGTGTGCTCCTCGCTCCGCTCCCCTTACTTGGATGGTGACCTTGAGATGGCGAGTGGAGGGCCCGTGTGCCTTGAGGAATGGCCGATGGTCATAAAAAAAAGGGACCCCGACCCCCGGCAGTCTCCCAGTCTTCTATCAGCTGGGTCTCACTCTGCCGGGCACGCTGCTTCTTCCTGTATTATCTTGTAGGGGAGTTATCGTAGAAGAGGACAGACAACTACGATTTCTCCATCACCTAATCATCGGGGTTCCTGGCTGTTCAAGACTCAGATGAAGCCACTAGTTGTCCCCTACCTAGTTACTGACAAAAGAAATGCCGCTAAACCAGTCGGCGGTTGGGGAGACCCAGCGAAAGGACCACCGGCTGACGGTCGGCGAGCCACTTTCTCATAAAATAATAATAATCAAATAAAATGAAAATAAAGGAATGAAAAAGGTATGACAAGAATGAAATGCGATAAACAAGAGAACGTCCGTGACTCTGAAGTTGAATCTGTTTGGGCTTGCCGGAACCTGGACGCTCTGCTCTGATTGGTTGGAAGCCGCGCAGGCCAGCCAATCCAGCCACATCCGTCCCTCCAAAAACCAATAGGAAAACACCTCGGAAGTTGAAAGCTCGCAGGGTTGCGAAAAGAGACAGAAAGCATAGGGGAACCGTCGCGGACGATCCTTTACGACTCTAGCATGTGCGTGACAAGTACCTCAAGCAGAAAGAAACGAAAAACTGCGACGGGATAGGCGTACATATGAGCTGGACTGCGCTCCTCCCAAATCCCACGTTCGATGAATTTCAGTGGAATCCGTGACCCCTCGAACAGGTCTGCAGCGAAGAATGTGAGTGGGAACAGCGTTCCCATACTTTTTTCTCGCTGTGGGAACGACAGTTCCTTACTTTTCGCTAAAATTATTATATCGTTATTGCCTTCAATTCCTTCAATTAATGACATTATGCTCTTGATATATTTTGATGACTATTTGAAAAAAAAAATATCCGAATAACACGGCTGGAGATGCGACGGCAGGAGAGGAGGAGGGTGGTTATATCACCCTTCGTTCCTCCCGTTACCAAGTTTCAACAGCTCGACTTTCATCGCTGCCAGCACAAAGAACGCA